CCCCGCCCCGCGCACGCGAGGGGCCGAGGGGCCCACATAATGAGTGGCTTCTCACTCGAGCTGAGCTCGCCCCGCTCCACAAGTAGTGCGAGTGTGTTCAGGTTGGGGCCGCTGCGGGCTTGCCGCGGGCCGTGCCGCTCCCGCTCCGGGTGGTCGATACAAACTGAGCAGTTGAGGACTGCAAACTGCCTTTCACGCTACTCCACGCTGCGCCACGCTGCGCCACGCTGCGCCACGACACGACCGGGTACGGTCGGACCGGGCCGGGTCATGCCGAACAAGGGAGCGGTTATGCACTTTGAAATCCAGCTCAAGGCTGATGACGGCGAGCGGGAGCGCGGGGAGGAAAGGGTGCGGGCTGCGTGCACCGCGCGCGGAGGCAGAGGGAGAGAGAGAGCAAAAGAAAACGAGAGAGAGAGACTGTTCCAATGGAATCCATTCTCTCTTTCCTCCCACTGCACTGGTCCGCTGGAGCGGACTACACATTCCTAGAGCCCCCCGTGACCTGTGAAAAGTGGATGCTGAAACGAAAAACATTATTGCAACTCTATTGTTATGTAAAAAGTGAGAACAGTAAATTGTTATTTGGCAGTATGGCTGGTTACTTAATACCATATGCCGCTAAACAACTTCAGTTTTACTTACTGCAGATAAACATTTTGTTATTAGAGAAATTGCTGTTCCATTACGAAAGATGTCGTGGTACAGACAGCTACCCAAGTCCGCGATAAATGTAAGAAATTTGCCGTGAATTTGCATTACTTTTTACAATGTGGGTGGTGCTGTCTTCTGACTCCCTTGCTCGCCTTGCTTCCCCCAGCCCGACAATAACCGTTCCCACTCTCTCCCCTACCTCACCCTTGATTTTTCTTTTCGATTACATTTCCCCAGGCCTTCTGTTCCCGGAGGCCGGAGTGGCCGAGCCGGCCAGGCAGCGGTCCTGCGCTCTAGTGACAGGTCAGGGACCTGCTGGGAGTCACAAGTCTCCCCCGCCCCCGTGCCTGCACGCAAGGACGCAAGGGGCCTCTCGTGGGGCATTGGTCTGAAGGGAGGGAAAGGGAGGGGGGTTGGGGGCTGCACAGCCGAGAACAACCGAATAATTCACCATCAGCCTCAGGTACAATGATTGTGCCGAGAGGACCCGCCGCCGGCGCCGTCGTTTCCACGGAAAGAATATCTTTATTCCGAGAATAATTATTATAATGTAAGGGTCCCGGCGAAGAAGTTGCCCTCCTTCATTAGCCAGTGCTGCGCGGGAGAATCCAGAGGAATGAATTATAATAACTAGAGACACGGAATCGTTAGAATTGAGTAAGACCTGAAGCACCGCGCTGATCAGATAAGGAGCAGAGACAAACTTTGGTCCATACTCAGATGAGCTCCAGCGAATCGTTCATACTACACCCGAAGAAGACTCCGTGTTCAGACTGGGCATTAGATCGTCAGCAGCAGCAACGACGCGGAATAATAGAAACACAAAAGCTACCCGTGAAAACAATTATTTCAATAGGAACACGTTGATTCGACGACACGTTGCGCGCGAGTCGAGCCGTGTGTCAAAGCGCTTATACTTTTTATCATCCTTTTGCGCCTGAAGTCGAGCGCGTGTAATCCGAGCGGCGAGGTCTTCTTCATTTACCGAGCGTCATTACGCGCGCTCGGGCCGAAAATTAGCGGCGGCACGGCGGCCCTGACACACGGGGAGATAAAAATAAAGATAGGTCGAGGTGCGGAGGGGGGG